TAAAATGGATCACCTGGCTGCCCAGGACATTTCTGCTCTCCAGTTGGCTCTATTTAAATGCCTGCATACAGTAAATGAAGGTGTGATAATATTGGAATTTTACTCAAATAGCAGCAGTTCAGCTGCTGTGTAAAAACAAAGCTTAGGCTTGGGGAAAAGTGCTGTCTTAATGTCTTGAACATCATGTGGTGCATAACTTGGGGGATTCCCTGCCCTCTGGGAGGTGTCACACTTGATTCAGTGCCTGTTCCCTACAGCTGAGCAGCAGGAACAGTGAAATGCCTCTTTGCACATGTCTGACTCTCACCTGCACCCATACATTCATTTCAAATGGCTTAAGAATGGTTTCTCCCTGCAGGTGGAGGAGCTGAAGAAGCAAAGCAGTGCCAACAGCTCCCTGCTGCCTGGCATCTCCTCTGTCACCATGGAGGCCTCCATGATCATGAGCAACATCCAGCGCATCATCCAGGTGGGCATGGGCAGCTGCTGTCACTGCCATCAGCACCTGGGGCTCTCACTGTCCCTAAGGAGAGCAAATGTCCAGCCTCCCATGGCTTCTGCTGTTGTGTGGTCAGAATGAGGATGAGACTTAGAATGATTTCCATCCCTCTTTCCCCCTCCAAAAAGCTCCTCTCAGCATTTTGGGGTTTGGGTGTTTTCTGAGTCAGAGTTGTGGGTATTTAATGGGCTTTGATTTGTTCATGTGGGACAAGTTCAGCTTCTCAAACCATTATGGATTTAGCCCCCAGCCTTCAGCTGAAGTTCACATTGTAGAAACCACCTGCTTCTGCTATTCACCATTTAATTTTATGCTTTGAAGCCTTTCTAAGCAGCAGCCTTAAAAACTTGGGGTTTGTGGGTAAAGAAGTCAACCAGACACAAGATTTTTCTAGAATGTGATTTGGCAGCCCCTGTGCTGTGCCAGGATTCTGCTGACTGTGGCAGGTGCCTCCCTGGGCTGCTCCCACAGCAGGGATGAGCCTCACCACTGTCCTGCCTGTGCAAAACAAAGGGTTAGGAACTGCTGCAAGGAAATCTGAGTGAGCTGAATATTGATGCTGAGCTGTGCTTTAGGAGAATGAGAGGCTGAAGCAGGAGATATTTGAGAAGAGCAGTCGGATTGAGGAGCAGAATGAGAAGATCAGTGAGTTGATTGAACGCAACCAGAGGTAAGGGCTGGGAGCCTCCTTGCATTCCAGACTCTCCATACTCTTGGGTATAACTGAGGGGTGTTTGTTTGGAGACAGCCATATTCTGATATTTTGAATTTTTTTGTAATGTGTTTAAAGTGTGGGATTCTTCCCACCTTCTCTCCAGGGCTTATCCCCAAAACTCAGATTTGCATACAGTAATGTGTAAATGGGGAACAAAATCCTCATGCTGTTTTTGAGCACACTTGCCCTGTTCCTGGGAGTTACTTTATTTTTGCTGGCTTTTTAGTGAGGTGAAGAAATTGTAGGGGTTGTGGTGCCCTTTGTGAAGTTCAGGTGCTACCAAGTTACCAAAACTCTTGGAACATGAAACGTTTTCAGAGAGGCAAAGCACTTACCCCTGCTGATAAAAGCTCTGCTGTGCCAGGCACAGCCCTCCCACCCCTCTGGGATCAGCACATCAGATTGTCTGGGACTTGTCATGAGTTCAGCACAGACCTCCTGTGCTTTGGGATGTCTCCTGTTCTGTGGGAGCCCTTGGCTCCTGGCCCTGGGGTTGCAGCAATCCCACAGAGTCTCCTGTTCACAGGTATGTGGAGCAGAGTAACCTGCTGATGGAGCAGAGGAACCACTCCCTGCAGACCACAAACGAGAGCACCCAGGCAAGAGTGTTGCATGCAGAGCAGGAGAAGGTAACAGTGCCATGAACAAAGCCAGCGTTCTGCATTAAAACAAGCTGAGGCCTTGTTAGTCAAGGCAGTTTTCTTAGAAGGCAGCTGCAGTTCTGAACTTTGTTTTGAGAAAAAAAAAAATTGATGTTTTGATGGCTTTCATGACCAAAGCATCACAGAGATGTAACCATTTTATGCTGTCGTAACTTTAATGTTGTTACTTTGTAGGAGAGTGTCTGATTTATTGTTAACTGTGTAGACATGTGGCCAGTGTGTTGTGGAATTTTGTATCACAGGGCTTTTGAGTTGGAAATACTTCAGTTATTTAGTTGCACTGATAATTGCAGAACGGTTTTATTCCTTTTATAACACATAGAGTGAATATGGATACAAGAAAAAATGTATTTCCTACTGGAGTTTCGTCACTGTGTTTTTGTGATTTTTTTTTTTTTTAATGCTAATCAGAAGCTGTTTGTTTCTCCCAGTAACACTCTGTGCTTTTATGACAGGAGCTGTTGGGAAATAGCTTTTAAAGCAGTGAAATGCATTTCTGCATGGCTGCATACCCTGAACCATCCCTGCAGGCCAGCCTAGCCCAGGAGTGCTGCTCTGGCCCTGCCATTGCATGGTGCCTGCTCTGCTTTCTCAAGCACTGCCTTCTTAAATTGCACCAAGTCCAGTCTTGCTCTGTGCTCTGCTGCTGAGCTGGCTCTCTCCAGCTCAAATGTGAGGTGGCAGATGCTGAAATGTGAGGTGACAAATGCTTCCTCTGTGTGAGAACCACAGCTTGGTGCACCTAAAGCTGAGCAGAACTGCAGCTTTCCAAAGGATGGTGAAGAGCAGGGAAGGGCTGATAGTGCTGAGAGCAGGCAGGGAAGGGGCTGCTTTTCCACCCCAGATCCACAATATGTAGGGGTGTCAGAGATTCTAACCTGAAATAAATCAGACTGAAATAATAAATTGAATTCCCTCCTCAGTGAGGACAGCATCCTGCTGGTACAATGAAACTTGGGGAGGAGTCATCTTTTGGAAGTACAAGATCCTCAGGAGTCTTTTGGGCCTCATCTTCAGCAGGACCCCCCTGGCTGAGCAGTCAGTGCCCAGGGATGATGTTCCATGGACAGGCTTCAGGCCAGGAAAGCCCTGCCTTGCACTGGGAGATTCCCTCTTGTTCTGTGGGAGTACTGACTGTAAATATGAAGGCTGGTATTGCTTCCTTTCCCTTTGTCTAACCCAGCTTGCCCTGGGCCTGCAGTCCCTGAATCCCCAGTTAAGAGGATTGACTGGAAGCTGTTTGCCCATTGTTTACACACAGGTTTACTCACCATTTATTTGGTTGTACCCATTGTCACTGAGGTGTTGGTTGCTCACTGCTTTAGGTTGTGGATCTTTGGCCCAGGCAGAGCAAGTCACAGCTTTAGGTGAGGGTTTGTGACCCATAAGTAATTCCCACCTCTGCAGTGCAGGCCACAGCCAGGACTGCTCCCAGCTCTGCAGTGTGACATACCCTAAGGATACCTTTAGTGTCTCTCTTTTTACATCAGGCTTCACTCCCTTTTCCTGTCTAAGCTTTTACAGTCCTTGGAGTAATTTAAAGGCTTCTCTGGCATGCCTTAGGCTCCTGTTTTATGAAGCATTTTGCTTTTCTGCTGATGAATGCCTCTGCCTTTCCAGCTGTGTTCTTAACCCTTCCTGTTTCCTGTTGCTGCTTTCTCTTCCCAGCACATGCTGCCAGTGGATCGGGGCTGGGACCAGGTGAGGCAGAGTCTGCTGACTGTGTAGCTGCTACACGGGTGTGCCCTGGGCAGTGCCAGCCCAGCTTCCTCTTGAGCTGGAAACCGATTGGCATGGAAAGAATTGTCTCAGAGCTTGAATGATCCCTCACTGGAAAAGGGCTTTAGAGCTGGCAGGGTCTCCCCACTGGCCCCCTCTTTCTTGGGGAGCCCTTTGCAAGAGTTCTCTCACATTGCTGCTTGTTCCCTCCCCATGGAGAGCAGGGTCACTGGCAGACAGGCACAGGCCACCCAGGACTCCTGAACGCTGGAGCTGAGCTGTGGACATGAAGCATCCTCTGGAGAAACTTCTGTCTAGTAACACTTGCTGCCACAGGATCTCCTCATTTTGTTTTCTTTATTTGCCATTAAAGACAGAGGCCAGGGTTAAAATAACCTTCAGGTGTCCTGAGCTGTGCCATGGGGTTTGGTTTTAGCCAGGAGTCAGTGTAGCAGGGGGACGTTTATGGAAGCACAGGAGGAAAGCAGATCTGGTTTTGGCCACTCTCTGAAATGCTGCCTCCTCTGTAAAATGAGTGCTGTGGTATCCCAGCCCTCCAGGTCAGCACATCCTCATCATCACCATTGCTGGAACAATTTGCTCACAGTTCTTCTGTGCCAGAAGGTGTTGGTCCTCATGTGGAGGGAATTCTCTGAGGGGAATAAAGCAGAGAGAAAATCCAGTTCTCCTGACCTTACCTGTTTCAAGAATATGAAAAATCTGTTGGGAATCTCAAAATAGGCAGAGGTGTGGAAGCTGTTTAGGGATCCCCTGTGCAAATTCTGTCTTTGCAGAGCATCCTCTGAGGTTTGTGTGTCACTCAGCAGGATTGGGAATGGCACTTTGTGTCTGTCTCGATGCCTTGAGCCCCTGCTAACATTGTTTACAAGTTGTCTAACAAGCTGTGCTGGTGCCTGCTTTTGGGTGAATCACTGACTCTCAGCAATCCTAAACCTAAACATGGCCCCAAATGACTGAGAGCTGTGCTGGGAAATGCCAGCCTTGCCCATGGGCAGCCAGGGTGACCTCGTGCTGTGTGCTCTGGGGACAGGCTGCTCTCCTGGCTGGCACCAGCCTGTGTTTAAGTGGCTCTTCAGTGATTTGTAAGCTTATGGAAGACAATTAGATGTTGGAACCCAAGCTTTTTACTCAAATAGATGTTTTCATAGCCTGAAAACAGAGCAGAGCCACCAGGCACTGGTACCAGGCTTAAACCTATTTAACCTTTTCAGAAAAACTCACTGGGTTTAGCTGATGTGGTGGTGAGGTTGTTGGTGGCCTTGTGCAGCTTTCTAGTCAGTCTGGACAAAACTGATATGGCAGAAGAGTCAGTGTTGCCTCCTCACTCTGGAGATGTGTCCTTGATAAGGCATCCAACCCTTTCCCAGCTCTTCCTGAGAGAACAATTCTGCTGCTTCTTCACACACCTCTTTTCTTTCCCCCTTCCATTTTCCAAAATGCTCCATTTTGTGCTCCAGGCCAAAGTTGCAGAGGAGCTGGCAGCTGCCACAGCCCAGGTTTCCCAGCTGCAGCTGGAGCTCACTGCCCACCAGAAGAAGGAGATGGACCTGAGGAAGCAGCTCTCCTGTGCTGTGCAGGATGCAGAGAGACAGGAGGCACAGCTCAACAAGCTGCAGGCACAGGTGGCAGGTGAGAGCTCCTTCATGGCTCTTTTCTTTGATAAGTTGTTTTTTTTCCTGTCTTCTGGGGAATATTCCTGCTTTCGCTAGGATCAGGCACAGGGGATGGAAGAAGGATATGGATGCACTGAAATATCTGAGGGGTTTGCATCCTTGTCACCACTGAAGGCAAAGTGGGATGACTCAACAAACAAAATCATCCTGTTGTAGGGATGCCTTTTGTAGAACAACCTCTTGGCTTTTCTATCCAACATCCTGTAGAGCAGCCAGAGATGCTCCAGTGGATGGAAAGCTGAGATAAACCTGAGGTGTTCATTCATTCCTCTGTGCTGGGCACTGCTGTGGCCCCACCCTGAACCCTGGGGTCACTTCTGGACCCCACATGATGAGAAGGACCTTGAGGGGCTGGAGCCCCAGGAGAGGCTGGGCAGGGGCTCAGGCTGGAGCAGAGGAGGCTCAGGGGGCCCTTGTGGCTCTGCACAGCTCCTGCCAGGAGGGCACAGCTGAGAGGATCAGGCTGTGCTCCAGGGAACAGGGACAGGAGCAGAGGGAACAGCTCAGGCTGTGCCAGTGGGAATTTAGGTTGGATCTTGGGAAAATGTCTTCACAGAAATGGTTGCAAAGCACTGGAACAGGCTGCTCTTGATAAATCCCAGTCCCCACTGCAGGCACAAGTGGGGTTGTTGACTGCACTGTGCTGGAGTCTCTGTTCCTCCCCATCAGCCCCCAGAATGTGCTCCCCTGCAGTGGGGTTTGCACCCGAGCTCACAGGGAAATGGGGCTCTGTTTGCAGAGCTGCAGGAAGCCTCCCAGGACACCCAGAGCAGGTTCAAGGCTGAGAAGCAGAGCCGCAAACAGCTGGATATGAAAATTGCAGCACTGGAGGAAGAGCTGGCAGACCTGAGGGTGGAAAAGGAGACTCTGGAAAGGGTATGTCCAGTGCCAGCAACACAGTTTCAGTTTTACTGAAAGTTAACCCAAAACCCAAAGCTTCTTGCTTTTAAATATGGAAATTAAGTAAATCTTAACTCATCTGCAGGCTGGTAGAGCCTTTGTGCTTATGTTAATTCATTTTTTAAAAATTATTTTTATTGATTACTATTTTATTAGTAATTATTATTTATTTAAACTGAATCATTTACTTATTATTTACTTATTGATTATTGTTTTGTTATTTTTTGATTTATTTACTTATTGTTTATTATTATTTACTTATTGCTTATTGTTTATTAGTCTTATTTTATTAGTATTTTATTTATTAGTATTATTTTATTATTTATTTAATTTTTTATTTACTTTTTTTTTTAAATTTTATTATTTATTTATTTAATGTCTTACCCACTAATGTGTCAACCTTCCTTACCTCTGAGATAGCCTCAGCTTGATTTCAAGAGATGAAGTTCCCTGTCCAAAGAACCTCCTTCTGCCTGAGGGAGACAAGCTGCTTTGGTGCAGTCTGGCCTATTGTGTGTCCTGTTCTGTGCTGCAGAATCTTGCAGAGAGGAAGAAGAAATCTCTGTCAGAGCGAGCTCAGGCAGAGGAGGAGATGGAGGAGATTCGCAGGTCGTACCAGCAGGAGCTGGACAAGCTCAGGCAGCTCCTGAAAAAGGCCCGGACCTCGACTGACCAGGCAGCAGCAGAGCAGGTGGGGACCCAGGGAGCTGCTCCAGGTCTGGAGGCCTTGGGGGAGCCCCCAGCAGGCAATAATGTGAAAGTGCTCAGCTAGGGGAAGAATGAAAGCATTACCTGCTTGATTTCTTGGGTTAGTGTCAAATGGAGGAAAGGAGAGGCACCAAATTGAGATTGTAGTAGAGAGAAGAATATGGGACTTGTGAGGAGTGAAAGGTTGTTTAGAATTGTGCCAAGAGGTCTGAGATCTGAGCCAGCCTGGGGGGTTGTGGCTGGAGCTGAAGTGGGAGGTGAGGGTGTGAGCTGGTGGCTGCACTGTCTGTGGGTGTCCAGCCCTGGCTCTCACCTCCTGTGCAAACACAGATCTGTGTGTGTGTGTGTTCCTGATGGTCTCTTGTGCCTTGGGCAGCTGTCAGTGATCCAGGCAGAGCTGGAGTCCCAGTGTGAGGCCAAGTGGGAGCGTGCCCTGGCCTCAGCCAAGGAGCAGCACGCCCGGCAGTGCCAGGAGCTGTGTGAGCAGAGGGACTCCCTGCAGCAGCAGCTGGCCCAGCTGGAAGAGAAGGTAAAGAGCTGATCTTCATTGCTGTAATGGGCACTAAACACCAGCAGTCTTCTCCCACCTGACTGGGGCTTGGCTTTAACTCCCTGCCTGTTGTGGAGCTTGATCTTGGCCATGTGCAGGTGTTGGGTTGGGTTTATTATGGAGGAGGGAGAGCCAAGGTGCTGATAGTGCTGAACTGCAGCAACAGCTACAACTTCCACTTCCTTGCACTGTCCTGAGTGGGTGGCACTGCCAGGGGCTGGACCTGCTCTGCTTCTTGTGTTTCAGCTCACAGCTCTCAAACACTCAAAAAAAGCAGAGGAGCAAAAATTGTCTGAGGCTCAGCAACGTTTGGAGGAGCTGGAGCCTATCCAAGAGAAGGTAAAGGAATAACACTGCAGCTGGATGGGAACTGGAGTGCAGGGAACACCAACCTCAGGCTAGTCCAGAATAATGAGGATGGGAGTTCCAGAATATGGTGGGGAAGGAATAATTTTGAATAAGAACAGGCCCAGCCTTTATCTCACTGAGATCTCAGTGATGCTGCACCCACCTATTCTTGGTGGCATTTGAGGAGCTGATGACACAACTGTGACTCTCCAGGGCTGGCTTGGCTGTCCTTATTTTGGTGCTGTTGCTTTCAGCCAAATGTTTTGTGCCATGCTTAAAACCCCTCTCAGAGTCAGTGCCCCACTGCAGCCCTTGCAGGTGAGCCTGGGTGGGGCTGTGCTGTGGGGGCAGCTCTGAGGGGGCCTCTCTCCCTCTCCCCTGGCAGTTCTCAGCCCTGCAGGCAGACATGGGGGCACTGAGGGCTCGCTACGAGGAACAGCTCCGAGAGCTGCACCAGCATCAGGATGGATCTTCCCCTGCAGACTACACTGAGCAAGTGAGCTGGACCCTCCAGACTTCTCCTTCCTCAGCAAATGCATTTACCTTGTATTATTTCTCTTTGAACTGACATAAGAAGGAAAAAGTTAATTTTCTCCACAGAGCACTGTGCTTGTAGTAACAGTGCACAGAGGAAGAAGGGATGGGATCTTATCCTAGAGTCATGGGCACACAGAATGGTTTGGGTTGGAAGAGACCTTAATGCTCATCAATTCCATCCCCTGCCATGGCAGGGACACCTCCCACTGTCCCAATTCTCCTCCCAGCCCTGTCCAGCCTGGCCTTGGGCACTGCCAGGGATCCAGGGGCAGCCACAGCTGCTCTGGGCACCCTGTGCCAGGGCCTGCCCACCCTCACAGGGAACAATTCCCAATTCCCAATATCCCATCCATCCCTGCCCTCTGGCAGTGGGAGCCATTCCCTGGGTCCTGTCCCTCCATCCCTTGTAAACAGCCTTACTCCATCTTCCTGCAGCCCACTTTGTTGCCTAGCTTATATTTCTTATTAAAACTCTACATTTGAGGTTTAGATTTAAAAACTAAAATAAGAAAAGTGCCAGTCTGCCTTGGCTTTGTGCAGCCTGCCTCAGTTTGGGGGGATGACTTTGGGTCACATAGAGTGGTCTGAGTTAAGGTGGCCTGATGTGGTGAGGAACTCTGGTTTGGAAAGTTGATTATTTGAAAAATTACCTGTGTGTTTGGTTTTATTGTTCCTTCCCTTGGAGAAGTGCCTGGTGTTGAGTGCTTCACATGCTAATGAATTGTATCTCTGTTTCCTGACATGCTGTTTTGCAGGTAAAGAAGATCATGAATGGTGTATTTCAGTCTCTTCGGGGAGAATTTGAGCTGGATGAGATGTACAGTGGCAGGACAGTCCTGGGGGTGGTCATGAACACTATCAAGGTATGGCAGTGGTGGGAGGAGAGAGAGCCTTGGGCTGAAACCTCCAACCTGTGCTGTGAGACTGAAATAAGTGAAGGAGGATTTGTTGTGGGTGGCAGAGCAGCCTGGTAGGAGGAGGTGATTCAGGGATCTGGGATGGTTTGTATTTAGGGTGTAATTGTGTTCTCTCTACTCCCTTTTCCAGACTGTGACACTGCAGCTGCTCAGCAGGCAGCAGGAGAAACCAGAGCATGGCAGTGAAAATGAGGAATGTGGCACAGGAGCAGGGAGACAGGAGGGATCCCCTGGAGCAAGGACTGAGCACAGACAGGCCCTGCAGCACAGCCCAGCCCTGAGCCCTGCAGCCCCAGCTGACCCTGGGGGAGTGACCAGAGGCTCCCTGCAGCCAGGCCAGGCTGCTCCTCACCCTGCTGGGCCCAGAGCTCCTGAGGAGACACTCAGCAGTGGGGTGACAGAGGAAGGGGAGGTTCAGGAGCATCTGCCTCCCACAGCTGGTTCCAGCCTGGATGCTGAGAAGGAGCCTGTGCTTGCAGGACAGCCTGTTCCTGGGCTGGAGCAGGGGTTGGACAGAGTTCCCATCAGGAGGGCTGGCCCAGAACAGGATCCCTCTGCTGTGCCTTCTGTTGCAGGAGCCAAGCCAGGAGAGGGGGATGAGGCAGCACCTCCAGCATCTCCAGCTGTGGAGCAGAAGGCAGAGGAGGCTGGGGGAGGTTTAGAACCTCCTCCCTTTAATGGGGAGGAGGAGAATGGCACAGACCCATGGGATGGAGCTGACTCTGAGCTGGAACCTGCCTCAGTGTCCAGCAGAGCAGAGCCAGGCTCAGCTGTGCTGGGAAAAGCTGCAGGATCTCAGGAACTGGGCTCCAATGCCAGGCACACAAATTCCAGGTGAGGGGGGTGCTGGGTGCCAGGGTCAGCTGGGGCTGGGACAGCAGCTGGCCCAGGTGTGTCCCTGCTGCAGGACAGCACAGGCTGGGGCTGCTGCCCCCTCATGGGGCTGGCACTGGGTGGCACCAGCCAGGAGCTGGCACAGACCAGGCTGCCCTGGGCACATTGCACTGGGAGCAGCCCCAGAGCAGCCTCCTGTCTGCTGGAGGCAGTGGAGAGCATTGCCAGGGGGGTGTGCAGTGACCCTGGTGCCTGCCAGGGCCCAGAGCTGCCCTGCACTGCTGAGCAGTACCTGCCACAAAGGCTTCCCTCAGTGCCAAAGCTTTGCCATCTCTCAGCAGCAGAACTTGTACAAGCAAATGCCATCCTCTGAGAGCCAGCTGCTCATTCTTTATCTCCTTGCAGCCTCTTTGAGGATGACAACTTTGAAACAGCATCTCCTGAACCACTGGAGCGTGAGGTTCCCGAGGAGGAGGAAGAGGAGGATATTGATATGGTGGTGGTATGTGTTTGGGTGTTTGCTCTGATCTGTAACATCCTCCCTGTGGCAGTGGGGGCCTGGCTGAGCCCAGGGCTCCCCATCCATTCCCTGTGTAAATCAGGAGTATCTGGGGTGGGTGACTGAGCTGGGAGGGGCTGGCTTGGCTGAGGCAGTGGTGACAGACTCTGCTGGCATGAAATCAGTGGGACTTGCCAGGTTAATTGAAGGCTTTTAGTGTTTGGCCCCTCTCCAGTCCTTTTTAGCCTGGAATCATTGAACCACAGAATCCTCAAGGTTGCAAAAGACCTTTAAGATCATCAAGTCCAGCCATCCATGTAGCACCATTCACCACTGAGCCATGTCCTCGAGTGCCACATCAACCCACTTTTTGAGCACTGCCAGGCTGGTGACTCCACACTGCCCTGAGCAGCCTGTGCCAATGCTTTACATTCCTTCCCATCAAGAGTTTTTTCCTGCTATCTAATCTAAACCTAATCTGAACAGCAAACCATCACATGAGAAATAAAAACTTGGGTAATGAGGCTCCTCAGAGCTGGCAGAGATTGCAGAGCAGTTTGTGTGGTGATAAGGAAATGCCAGGCAGCTGCTGGGGCTGAGCCGTTTCCCTCTGGTGTGCCTTGCAGAGCATGAAGGGGCGTCCCCCTCCCCTGCCGCTCTTCGGTGATGATGATGAAGATGACCTGGCAGCAGGGGGCTCCTCTGCCACTCGTGGCTGTGCAGGTGACCTGGCAGCAGGGGGCTCTTCCTCCACCAGTGCGTGCTCAGACGTGTCACGCTGAGCTGCCCAACACTCTGGGCTTGGGCTGAGTGCAGGAGCCACCCCCTGTCCCCCTCCCCTGAGCCCTGGATTCATTACTCTCAAACCTTTTGCAAATAGGAACTTGGTGAAGAGCTTCAGCAGAGCGACTCTGGCAGGAGCCTGCAGTGGCAACACCCTGTTAAAAAATCAGACTAAAATCTCCTTCCCCAGTGATGAAGTCTTTGGATGTTTCTCAGTCCCCAGGTGGCTCCCAGGGACTCTGCACCCTCTCCCCACTGTGTCTGAGCCATGTGCCACTGGAGGTTCCCCCAGGAATCCCAGCCAGGTGTTTCTGTGAGCCCCTGGGGGCTGAGGTGGTTCAGGGGGCTGTGGCACAGGAGCTGTGATGGTACAAGGAGCCCAGGCCTGCTGTGTGTCAGACACAGCTCAGCTCCTGCTTTTGCTGGCTGTGTTTCCCTGTGGGAGCAGCCCCCAGCTCTGGGCTGTGCTGTGTGCTTGTGCTTGGGAAGTCCTTCCCCACAGCCCAGCCCCTCTCCCGTGCCTTTGGCTGTGCTGCTGTTCAAGTGTGACCCTCCCAGCACCAGTGACACTGTACAGAGGGGCTGGGCTGGCCAGGCTGGGGTCTCCCTGCACTCTGAGGGGACCAGGAGGGGAAAGGAGTGAGGACAGAGCTGGGCAAACAGCCTGGGGCTCTCACAGCACTTTGATTCTCCATTCATGGGCACTAACACAACTTCATCCCAGAAGTCTTTAAAATAAACCCCTGCATAAAATCAAAGGACTTAAACTAATTCTACTAATTCTATGGTTTTGTTTCTACACCTGCCTTTACAGTCTCTGACTGGAATCAGATCTCTGTCCCCCTAAAGGTGATTTCTTGGGAGGAAAACACCCAAAAGAACACTGGCTGTTGCTGCTGGGGTGTGGCAGGTCCCTCTGCCCCATCCTCAGTACCACAAATTGCCAAATGCAGCTGAAATTGGGGCAGAGACCAAAGCCTGTGACAGCCACCCTGCTGCCATGCAGGGTGCCCTGAGCTGGGCCTTCCTGGGCATCCCTCAGTGCTCAATGTGAGGGTGTTTGGAACTGGATTTTGGGGGTGCTTGTGCTGCTCTGAGTGTCAGTGCCCCTCGTGTGGCCTCTGGACCCATCCATGCAGGGTTCCAGGGGTGATCATTGCTCATAAAAACAACTTCCACTTCTCATTCCCCATTACAGATAGACACCCTGAGGGATTTGCATTTCACTTCTTGGAAAATAAAGTGCAATTAAACCTGATTTTTTTGCTTGCAGTGGCTTTACTTTAGTCTGGCTTCATCTATCACCTGAAAACTGACTTTGCTCTGACTTAAATTTGGAGTAATTTTATTTAGAAGCTGTTCTTCTCTGTTCTTGTTGTTGAAGCCCTCTCCTGGGAAAGGAGAGAAGGTCCCTTTGTGTTGTGGCTCCTTGGGCTCTCACACTGGATTGGGTTGGGGTGAGAAGCTGGAGCACAAAGAACTTTGATGGTCACAGAGAGCATTTGCATGGTTCTCCTCACATTTTAGGGGAGGGGATCTTGGGCATCTCCAGGGCTTTGCAGATCCCAGTCCCTGCTGAGCTGCTCTGGGGCTGCAGAAGGGTTCAGCTCCACTGTGCCTGGGAGCTCTGAGCAGGGATGGGGGTGCGAGAGTTGGCATTGAAACTTGTTCCCCCCACACCCCATTGGGGCCCAGCAGGTACCACACCCCCTTCCCCACCCCGGCCTGGACTCGGGATCGAAATTAACCCTGTTTATGCCTGCGTGCGCACCTGCTTGGGGTGCAGGGAAGTGCAGGGGGCAGCTCTGGGTTCCCAGGGGCAGAGCAGCCCCGGGCAGGGAGGGATGTGCCAGGGCCCAGGAGGACGATGCTGCCTCAGGGGCTGTGCTGGGGCTGACCCTGATCCCGGGGGCTGAGTTCCGGCCAGAGGTGGCTGAACCGCGGAGAACTTTGCTGAGGACGTGCCCA